TGCATTCTATTCAAGCCAGACAGACACAAGCCTATTGGATTTCAAGACCTTGAACCTTCAGTCATACCAGTCTTTCCATTAGAGCGATCTATTACCCTTAAAGGTTATTCAGTACGACGAAAGCAGATCCCCATGTGCCCGGCTTTCTGCCTCACCGACTACAAAGTACAAGGCTCAACACTTAAAGCTGCTATCCTCGACCTTAAAGATGACCCTACTATCCGGGGCCAAGATCGCCATCGGAAGTATTGCTCGATGTATGTGCAGCTATCTCGACTGCGCTCCTCTAAAGGCCTTCATCTGCTGCAGAAACTGGACATGCAAGACCTCCGATTCGGTCCTGACCCCCGACTACTAACTGAAATGAAAAGATTCGAGGACCTCGAAAAAGAGACGATTGCTGCATGGCGTGGGGATTCAAACAAATGAGGATGTGCTCCATCATAAGAGAATAGTTTCTGCAACAAATAAACGTAAACGTACTCAGTTCAGACCTCAGTCTCACTTGCCAGACGAATACTCGTAGCAGTTTATATTGAGAGGCTCATTCCCCATGAATAATTAACTTTAAAGATATATTTCTGCGTCCAAGTTGAACCAATCACCCGTCCCGCCACATGGTCTTACATGACTTGGCATGTATATAACTGGCTCGTCCTCTTATCCGTGCATATTCGTCGCACCGTATCACAACCAAGCGTTCAGCTTCGTCGTATCTCTTCAAATCTAGTTCAATTTTCACCCGTTTCGTTTCAGGGCCACAGCGTGCGAAGCGCGCGTCACCAGTAGTTGCCAGATGGCAGCCAATACATGTGTCCGGCAGTGCGTATTGGCTTACTCCTGCTGCACTGATTTGGAGACACATTTTGCCCCCCTAAACCGCTGCACCGGATTTAGCTTATTCAGAATCGACTTCACTTGGCACATTCCAGAACTAAAAGAATTGCACAATTTTTTTTAAAAAAAAAAGATTCCCTGATTTTAAGGGCCTATAACTCGACTGTTTTTAATTAAAGCGTAACTTTCTGCGAGGTAGGTAGCGGAGAGACGATTAAGAAGCTCTGTCGGCTTGATAACTATTAGGAACTGTAATATTAAAATGCCTCATCAGAAAATTAGGTGAGGCACTTGTTTTGAATCTTGCTTTAGACTCTACGGTAGCACTTGCAGTGACAGGGATTACAATCATGCGTGAGGAAAAGTCTAGTGCCCCAAGGATTCGAGTAACCCCACGTCCTTACTGCCTGGCTCCCTTCCAGGTCAAGTATCCCATAGGGTGACGCCAAGTTACTCACCGAGGTCGGCCCCAAGAACTAGTTAACTAGAATTCCAGAAAGAATTATCCCCCGCATGAATACTGAGGCATGATTAAGATAATGCGTCACTTGGCCATTCTTAATTTCGGATCGGACATGCAGACCACCCCACCAAGGCGCTACAGCCCGCGCTGATATTGTTTACTCCGGACTCTTCCGAGGTCGACTTTCAAGTGTCTATCGACAAGCCGTTGCTTAGTGGAACGGTACGTATGTGGGATATTTAACCTCCTGCGTGTCCAAGAGATATAACAGACGACAGCCTTCGTCAGAATTGTTTCAAGGAACTTGATACACACACACACACAATTCATTAACGCCCGGCGGCTGAGCCGAAAGGGCAACTATCACTGATCTAAATGTACATGCCTTAGCCAATGCTGTGCCTCCTTGGAGCCCATACAAAATTCCTTTCAGTGTATGTCATCTCAGATGTCAATATCTTAGCGGGTCCTTGTGGGTTAGTGTTGTTAGTAGACTTGCTTGAAGGCGCTTCTCCAAGTGTTCAACATCCTATCCTCGGCAGTTGAAGCGCGTCTACCGTCTCTGGCACAAGGTAGTTGGTGGGGGTTCGATTAGGGTTGAGGCGGGGTAGGGTTAATCTGTGTTGGTCGACGCGGTCAAGCGGTGTCGAGTCGGCCCGTGGCGATTGCAAACCGTATTGTGGCTCGCACTGCTTCCAAATTCGGCTTCCAGTTCTGGTCATCCAAAGGCGATTTTCCGCCTAGGAAAAAAGATATGTTGCCTCGGTGAGTATGGGTACATTGCAGCATTTCCGTCCGGTGTGTGGTCCACCTCTGACATCGAAAGAGGAAGTGCTCCACGGTCTCTCTGGCTTGTCCACATGCGCATTGATCTGACTCTGCGACATTGATTCGATGGAGATATCCGTTGAGTCTAGCCATGCCAGTCCGGAGTTGGGCCAGCGCGCTCGCTTCTTTCCACGATAATCGATCATACAACTGCCGGGTATGTTTTCCTGGGAGTGCTGCATCCACTCGTTTGGAGTGTTTCCCTACATTCTCTGGCAGGCACTTTTTGGGGACTGCTTGGGGTCGTGAGATGTTCAGTGTTGTCGACTTCATCCGTGGGACCTGCGCTTGCGGGGTAGCATCCTCTTGCGTCGCGGCCCGAGCCTGCTCTTTCGCTAGGCCTAGCAGGAACTTGATACAGTAGTTTTCGAAATCAGTTATACCGCCACACTCTCTCGACTTGATTGCCGGAAAATATACCCGGTTGACGCTAAGCCCCTTTTGGAGCACCGCTCTGTAATGATGGCAGAACTGTGACGGTATTTGCTTCGTTACATTCGATGAGTCATCGCATTAAGAGACCAAAGCTTGATGTCTCACAATGGTACTGTAAGTTACAGATACTATTTTGGAAAGCGGTCTGAAAAGCCTATGTCGACATGATACCCAATCAGGACTCGTAAGTGTCGGAAGTAGTTTCCAGCAATCAAGTCGTAAGAGTGTGGCGGTATAACTGATTTCGAAAACTACTGTAATCTCCAAGTCAATAATCAACTGCGTATTAGTATCTCAGAATGATGAAATTCATGTCAATTTTCACGCTCTTTGCTGCTTCCAGTGTACTTGCTGTAAGAATTTCTACCCTACTATATTGATATATTCTAGTACTAATTTGGTCATTTTAAGTGCGACCCTTCTACCTGTTGTTATAAAAGTCTTGCAACTTGCTATGACTATGCCGTGAGTATCTATATACTTTATTGAATGCAGGCATAATTTAAGTAACTAGTAAAAGGGAACTGCTTTCTGCCAGAGAAAAGTATGCTCTCAGGAAATCTTGAATGATTGCGTAAGTTCGGATTCCTAGTTACGTAAGTTCTGTTCTAACAACAGCAGGGCACAAATTGTTGTAGTACTACTAAGAAAGAGTGGTCTAAGAACGGTGTGCCTGGGATGTACTACTATGGCGTGTCCTGCTCCTAGTGCAAGTCGCAAGCAAACCCGTGACGGGAAATAAGAATGTGTCGAGGGTAGTGGAGCAGTCACTCAGCTGTCTCCTATTGGTTTCCTTAGTCCTCGCTTCTCTTTGTCTTTTATGTAAAGGTTCAATTTCTTGACATGTTACTACATAGCTGCGATTAGACTCCCAGCCGTTTCAATTCCATTGCACTCTCCATTCTCCGTCAAATCCATCTCTCGTAAGAGGCCGCTTTGCTGTCATAGGATTTTCTTGCACTATCAATTTAGGAGCTCTTCGGTATTAACTCCACTAGTCACCTGGTTGGGGGTTAGGAAGGTATATATCTGTATGAAGGTAAAAAACAGACTACCGTCCCACGCGTGCCGTCACTGATTCAACTTGAACTTTCTCAATTTCTCCCACTTAACCATTTTGGAAAAGCAGGGATGCCGTGGACTGTCACCAATTCTTTTAAGCGGTACGTCTCCTTCTCTATCTTGTCTATGCGCCGCGCTCACTCACTAACTTTGTTCAGAGGCCTCATGAAAACATACGGAAGACCGACATGGCGCGTCTACGATGACGAGCGCGTTGCAAAGAAAAGACGCATACTGGATGAATCGAATGAGGCAGAGACCAACCTGCAATATGCTATTCACGAATCTTCAGCTGCTGTGCTCTCTAGCCCGTCGCGCCGCAATTCCGTCGTGCTGTCGGAAGGCACGCTCGATGATATTGACGATCTCACAACACCACCCTCGTCGCCACCCCCACGATTAACTCCGCCGCCAGTAAATACTCGCAAAGCAACATTTGCCTTCCTCAAGCGAAAGCACAAGGATGCCGGGTCACCGCTGACAGAGGTCAACTCGAACAGTGTGCGCTCGTCGGTGGCACCCAAGAAGGGGCAGAAACCAGTGACGCGCCAGATGCAGATTGAGCAGGGAAATGACACACGAAAGACGTGCGCTACCTGTGGCACGGAATATATCCCCTCCAACACCGAGGACGCGGCGCTGCATAAAAAGTTCCACGAGATGAATGCTACCGGGATCGACCTGGGAAAGGCATTTATGCGCGCAAACGCCTCGCGCTGGGTTTACGAAGCTACTCGGTTCGACGAGAAATACGTGGTGATTGTCGATCGCAAAGCGTCCCCCAGTGCGAAAAGCCAAGCCAAGAAGGTGCTCGAGGTGGTCAACAAAGAACTCTCATCGCCAGAGATTGACGATGAAACACTCTGGAGCCAAACAGAACCGCCCAAACATCTGCAGGATGGCTCGACTGAGAAAGTGGATCGGTATCGGGTTTTTCTGCATATGAAGGACAGTCACTGTGTTGGGCTCTGCCTGACGGAGCGCATCTGGGAATCGCGCCCGGTCGCGACGGATCGAAATGGCGCAAACGGCTCCTCGGTTTCCGTGCGAGATGAACTACGCCCGGCCATTGTCGGGGTGTCTCGTATCTGGACCTCCGGATCCTCGCGGCGAAGGGGAATCGCCTTGGATCTCCTCGACTGTGTCGTGATCAACTTTATTTACGGAATGGAAATAAGCAAGGCACAAATTGCATTCAGCCAGCCCACCGAGAGCGGGAAGCGTCTGGCACATAAATTCTTCGAGGATGAAGAGACATGGCATGTCTATAACGAGCGGTGATGGGAGGGGAGATGATTATTATTAAGGAGAGCGTGTTTACCTGTATCATACCTGCCCATAGCATCTGGGATTTCAAATTGAAATTCGAGTTTCAATGTTTCAAAATTTCGTTGTTTTATTCACAACGCGGCCTCTCGGGGCCGCTGGACGCTTCCATCCGAACGCGGCGCGTAGGAACCTCATGGATAAGAAATTCAGCGGGGGACTCCCTCTCCCCTCAATCTTCTCCCATCCACTTGTGTCTGGATCAAATCCCTTCCGCGCAAGAAACCTAGGTCAGTCTTCTTCCTCTCTGTCCGATATCCCGAACGCACCTCTAATTGTAAGACAGGCAATCCCGCAGATCCTCAGTCGAAGAATGTCCCCAACCCTCCCCAATCTATCCCCACCATAGCAAACGGCTATCTGGGGAAGTCATCTATATCCCTCGAGCTCGAGGTAGACGACTCAAGCTCAGATGAAAACCCGTCCAACCCGGACGCCTTGGCCAGCGACAGCGAGGGCAGCCACTCTGCCTCCAAGAGCTAAGCTCCTGGTGATCGCCGTGCATTCTTTGGGTCTGCTCCACTCCCTGCTCCATCCCCAGATGGATCCTCTACGCCATCCTCCGCGCAGCCATCTATATCAACAGACCGCAATGTGCAGTCTGCATCAGAAGATGGAGCTGTAGCCCCTGACGCATCCCGAGACCCAGCGCTCTCTACGCCCCGAGGCTCAATCTTCCCCCTCCTAGGAAAGTACCGGCTGGACGAGGGAGAAGAAGCCCCCGCCTCCGCCCAAGAGCCCTCACGGGAAACGGATTAGCCATACAGCTACTAGTATAAGCGATGTAGATGCAGGTGCACACTCTTCACAATCAGCAGCTCGCTGGAGGTCTAGTAACAGGCTATCCATTCATGGCTCCTCAACGGAAAGGGTGACGCCTGGCTAGACCTCCGCAAAGCCCATAAATGGGCCCGACCTTTAGGCCCATAGCCCAACCAGCAGTGGGCTGTTGGCCTAACCTCTATAGCCCGCCCCAACCCATAGCCCATGAGTGGGGGCCCATGAGGCCCCCAATATAGCCCATTTCTATGCATAACTACGATCTTGGCGCTCATAAAACCGCTGATTAATGCCTGTTTTTTACGCATGTTCCAGTCTGTAAGCCTTTACAAGGCATACATCGGCCCGACGTTTTACCAGGCCTGATCTAGTATTTCAACTCCCAATCCGGGGGTTCAACTCCCCCAAGAATCAAGATCTCAAGATCCAACGGCGACGACATAGTAATTAAGGTCGTAGATGAAGCCAGCTACAGTAGGCACTATAGTTTACCGGCGTCATCCAAAAAACAATCCAATTTCACCAAGTTTTCGTAGTATTCTGGTACTTAGAGAGTTCCAAAGTGTCAACATGTAGAGATATATATCTCATATAATTAGAAGTAGGTGCATGTTTCTGTTGAACTGTAGATTCAAGGGTCAAATCTATGAATTATAGGTTTATAGAGTTGAAATTTATACCAAAAGATAGCCAATCTCTCAGACTTAACGTCTGTCTTCACAGAAACGTAATATTCTGGGGATTACAGAGATGAGAGAGGTTTGAAGATATCTCATGAGCCATGGGGTGAAATGTTTTGGGCGAACAAATTGTAAAATGGGCGGGGAGATGGGTTATCCATGGACTTTTCTTGGGCTTTGGATGGGCTGAATTCACTGCATATGCATGATCTAGCCAATCAGATGCTAGAATCAAGATATTCCGTTTTAATGTCGACTGCTACGGTGATCTCTGTTTACAATATCTGTTTGCTACGGCGTCGATACGTCGACAGTTCTCTCACTAAGAAGGTATGTCGATCTCTTCCTCCTGAAGCTATTCCCCTGAAGCCCTTCATCCAATTTTGAACCTACTATCAAGTTGTCATCCTGATCATGTCGCAAAGCCAGGAGTTTAGATTCTCCCAGTTGGGCCTGTTCGACACTGAGCCCGACAATTCGTCAATTGCTACGCCTTCTCTTTGCCCAGCTACTCCGTCCACCTCTCGGCAGGTTGATAGCTTCTCGTTCGTTGAGCCGTCTGTTCCTTCGTCTATCGCCCTAGATCCCCTTGAACGCTTCCAACGTGTCGGTCCTGGTAGGAGAGGAGGCCAGTTTTTCCTTTACGACGCGATGAATCACACTGATTGGGTCAACTGGTGGTTGGAGACTGACTATGGATCTAAAAACAAGATCGCTTGGGAGTCACAGCATGGCTCCGCTTCGGAGACCTGGAAACAGTTTGAGCAAGTGGCCCATACGGCGACTGGAAACCCAAAGGTCTTGTGTAAGCGTTGCGATGCAATTCTTGAGCACCCTTATACTACTAAGAAGGATGCCAATGGGAGGGTTGGTCGTCATGGCACGACAACAATTACCCGTCATCTTCAGACCTCAGCCTGCCAAAAGGCTACAAGTGGACGCCGGCAGAGGGCTGAATTGACGAGGTTCCTTCAAACGGTATACTATCATACCTAGCTCTACTAGACCCTACTAACTAGCATCATGATCAGGGTAGTCATAGCCAGACATTCTCGCAAGAAGGTTTTGAGAGTAAAATCTTGGAGTTTATTACTACTAACCGGCTTCCATTCCAAATCGTTGAAAATCCAGCATTTCGTGAGCTCATCGCAGAGGTAAGTCCGTCAGACGCCAGTCCGTAGGCGTCAAATCGCCCAAATCCTCCAAACCCGCCGCCCCTACCAATCAGCCTCTATTTGCCTCGTCACCTAACTAAATCTTAAGTCTTGAATCTAGGCACAATCCGCCCTAAGCCCTCCGATCGTGCCCTCCGCTGATACAATTCGACGTCGCCTGTCTGGCCGTGTTAAAGAACGACAGCATGATACACTCAGAATGCTTCCAGAACATGCAAAGATCTCGATTGCGTTAGACTGTTGGACATCTCCATTTCAGCAGGCATTTATGGCTATTACTGGCTATTTCATCGATGCCGAATGGGTCTACCGTGAGGTGCTACTCGGCTTTAAACCCCTTCATAGTTCGCATACAGGTGCAAACCTAAGTGCTATTCTGATGGAGACGCTTACCGAACATGGCATTAAGGACCGAGTCTTTGGAATAACCACCGATAACGCATCGAATAATGAGACTCTGGTTAAGGCACTACAACAGTCTTTACAACAAGAGCCTTCGGCTTCGGCTACTGGTTTTAACGTCATCCGGGTCCCCTGTCTCGCTCATGTCATCCAATTAAGTCTGAACCAACTACTTCACCGACTTAAAGCACGCCCAAAGAATGAACAAGCCGAGACTGTCTGGACAGAGGAACAACAGATTAGCCTTGCTAAGGCGAATGCGGAGGCCAGGTCTAAGAAACGGGACATTGCGCATACCTTAGAGGATACGATCTCTTGCTGTTTATATCCGCGGGAGCCCTCAGCGTCGAGATCACTTCCTCAAAGTCCAACACGACCTCGACAAAGGCCAAGGCAAAGTTCCAGGGCAAGGACTTATGCCGATCCAGGACGTCAAAACTCGATGGAATTCAACGTTTCTGATGCTACGCCGGGCGAAGAGGCTCCGTACTGCTATCAATGAATACTGTCGTCAGTTCAACTGTACAGAATTCGAACTTGATGATGAACAATGGCGCCAAATTGACTATCTGATCTATCTCACAAAGCCATTCTTTGACTTTACGCTCGCCCTTTCGAAGACACGAGAGGCGACGTCGTTTCTTGTCTTCAGGATCTATAACCAGCTCTTTGAACACCTTGAGAAGTGCAAGTCGCAGCTACAACGAAAACGTGTTCCATGGAAACAGCAGATGCTTACCTCCCTCGGAGCAAGCCATTCAAAACTGTCGGAGTACTATAAGAAGACGGATCATATGCGCGGGCATATCTATGCGGTTTGTACGATGCTATCGCCGGATAGTAGATTCCAGTTCTTTTTATCTGATAACTGGGAGGATGCCAAAGAGATCCGTGAGCAGTATCGAGTGGCTTTCCGTGAGGCACTTACTCCTATCCAGGAGCGTCTTACTACTTTAAATAGCCCGCAAGTGTCTTCCTCTGGATCGATGCCAAGATCCTTCCTTCTTGGCCTGATGGCTCCCCCGAAGTCTCTCTCCAAACGCAAAGGCAAAGCTGGTAAAGCAACGCTAGGCCCGACTAAAGATGATGAGATGACGCAGTATCTCGACGGCAGTAAGTTAATCTCTATGTTTATTCTTTCTTGAGAGATGGTTTTTCGGCCGAAAAACCATCCCTATCTTCATGATACTAATTTCTTACAGGTTTAACTATATCTGATGAGCCGCTCTCCTTTTGGAGAGAGAATCAATATCGCTTCCCTGCTATTGCCGCACTTGCAAGAGATTACCTTGCAATTCCAGCCACAGGTGCTGGAGTTGAACGTCTGTTTAACACTGCACGCGATATCTGCCACTATCGCCGGGGCTCTTTGAAGGCGCAAACTATCGAAGAGCTGATGTTGTACCTCTGTACGTCAAGGTTTGATCTTGAAGTGCAAGAGGCGAAGGAATTTGAGCAGTTCTTTGGCTCTGATGAGATTCAGATCCTGGTGGAGGAGGCTCAGGCGGCTCAAAAGCCAGGTGATGATGCCGAGGAGCCAGCTGAGGTGCTAGCTGTCGTCGACGTTGATGCGATCAGTGATGCTGAAGAGCAGGGTGATAGATCCGGTGATCTGATAGATGTTGACGATGACGATGACGATGCTACTATCGCTGCGGCACCGTCTCATGCGGCACCGTCTCATGCGGCACCGTCTCAAGTGCGGACATCAGGGAGGAAGAGGAGGCATGTTGAGGATGATTTGTATGAGCATTATTAGCATGTAGATAGTTTTACCTCTTGGGATCTAATCAATCGATCTCATCAGTTGATCTCATCAGTTAATCTCATCAATCTCATAAATCAGTGAATTGCGTCGATTTCCATGAGATCTCAGTCAATTAGGGGCCTCAGGTGGTAATTGTAATACTCAAAATTACTAGGAAGGTCTACATAACTTATGCAAATGCCAAGAATTGGCATGTTTGCAATGTTTGGGGCCCATTTGGGGGCCCATTAAACCATATTGGGCTTCTACCTTAGGCCCATAGCCTACCAGTGGGCCTAATGCCAGGCCCAAAACCCGCCCCATTTATGGGCTGGGGTGGGTTGGGCTATGGGCTTTGTGGGCCGGTGCGGAGGTCTAGTCACGGGACGACCCCCTACCCGAGAGGGTAGGGGGTGTCCCTCAGCCATAATGCAATTCTTGTTGTGATATGAGGCTGGTGCAGATCAGGAACCAAGCCGTACCATCGGAATTAATCCCGAGGTGTCTATACGAAGAAACAAGTTGATTGGAAATCAACTTGATCTACTCTTTGTGTATATATAGCCTCAGTTATTCCCTCTAGTTCAGTACAATTCAATCTTCCTTTGTACTACAACAATTCTCAGCCATAATGCAAATTCTCTACTTTTTCAACTTTACGTGTATTCCTACCTACCAAAAATGCCTAAAAGACCTCGT